AGACGGCTCAAGACGCCTGACGACCCAAGACAGGATGCCATCTAAGCTGGTCCAAATTGGGCTCAAACACAAGATGGCCTGAAGACGGCCCAAGAGGCTTCGCAGACGCCCCAAGAGGGCTCAAAAAGCTATCTCCAAGAGGCTCCCAAGAGGCAACAACCGTCTCAATCCCTCATGCAAACAGGTGTTTGTTGTATGTTCGCCCTTTTGGTCTCAACAACGTCCAAGACGGCCCAAGAGGCCCGCAAGATCGCTCCAAAACGGCCCAGAAAGCTTCCGAGAGGGCTTCGGGACGGCCCAAGAGGGCTCCAAGACGGCCCAAAAGGCGCCCAAAACGGCGCAAGAGGACCCTAACAGGGCCTTAAGAGGGGCCCAAGAGAGGCAACTCGAACTGACATTTCGAGCCCTCCCCGCCCCACAATGACACCCGAGACCGCTAGCGGGAGCCCAAGAATCCCCCAGGAGGCACCGAGAGGCCCCCAACAGGCCCCAAGGAAGCCTTCTGACGCCCTCAAAAGTCGGCGGCGAGCCCGGGGTGGAAGCGAGAAGGGGCTGGCCTTCTCAGAAGGCTCTGAAGTCCAGTGGCCTTCTGAGAAGTTCTCGAAGCCTTCCCCGAAGACGCAGCAAATGTCGCAGAAGGCGCGAGGACTTCTTAGAAGTCCCGCCGCCTTCTGAAAAGGCCTTCTCCTTCTCACTTCCCCCCCCCCCCCCGCGCTCGCCGCCGAAAAAGGTCCCAAAGGCCCCAACAGGCCTTACAAGTGGACATGCCCCCTCTCCTGGTGGACCTCTCGTGCGTGCGTCCCCTCGTGCGTGCTTCCTCCTCACCCTCCTCCACCTCAACCTCAACCTCAACCCCCATCGTTTTCCTCATCCCTCCTCTTCCTCCCTCGTCCTCTTCCTCCTCCTCCTCCTTTTCTTCATCCTGCTCCTCATATTCCTCCTTCTCCACCTCCTCCTCCTCCTTGTCCTCCTTGGATTCCTCCTCCTCCTCGTCCTCGTCCCCGTCCTCCTCGTTCTCCTCGTCCTCCTCCTCCTGCTCCTCCTCCTGCTCCTCCTCATCCTCCTTCCCATCCTCCCATATCCCCATACCGTCCTCATTCGTAGTCTCTTGATGTATCACTCCTTACCCTGCGCCTGTCCTCCTCCTGACCAGACCCTGCAGAACCATCCACACATTCCATAAAAGGCCCAAGCACCACTCGGCCAAAATAGTTGAAACACATGTCGTCATTAAAGGCATTCGAGCCCCTATCTCACCCTAGCAACTTCCAATGGGATCCTCTCTGTGGACGGAATGGCGTAAGCCTCGTGCATACCAAAACCAAAGGTTGTCAGATTTCTGTACGCGCACCCGCTGAAATATTAAGAAGACCTTAGCCATCCTGCGAAATGAGAGTCTGCGAGCCAAATGCGCGCGCACGCGCGCATGTCGAAAACATTCAACACCCATCACGCCCGCCAACCCTGTCAAATAACCGTAGAAGCTACACACGCACGTGTCCGCGCGCACCCGTAACAGTCCGTCCAGCACCATTGGATTTCTACGCGTTCTGGGTTCACGCACCTACGCAGACCCGATGTTTTGTTGGCAATGAACAGCTACGGTGGACTCTACATGCCTGCGAGCGTGCTCTTCCTCCCCATCATCCGCATATACGCAATCGTACTCGTCATCCCCCACAACATCATTGTCATCGCCATCGCCATTGTCATCACCACCACCGTCGCCGTCATCATCACCAATGCTGTCATCGTCGTCAGTGTCGATGACGTCGCCCTCGTCATGCTGTTGCGCGCGCGCGTCATCAGCATCATCAGCATCAGCATCAGCATCAGCATCAGCATCAGCATCATCATCATCAACATCAACATCGTCGTCATCATCAGCATCATCCTCATCACCATCATCATCATCATCAGCAGCAGCACCATCAGCATCATCATCAGCATCCTCATCAACATCATCATCAGCATCAGCATCATCATCATCATCAGCATCAGCATCAACATCATCATCGTCACCAACAACATCATCATCATCATCGACATCATCAGCATCGTCACCATCGACACCATCGTCATGGTCACCGCCAGCATCATCATTGCCACCGTCATTAGCATCGCCGTCAGCGTCATCACCATCACCATCTTCGTCGGCCACATTGTCCCCACCGTCATCGAACCGCATCATCATCAAAAGCATCATGACAAGCATCATCCCATGATCATCATCATCATCGTCATCATCATTGTGTTCATCATCATCATCATCATCATCATCATCATCGTCATCATCATCGTCATCATCATCGTCGCCATCATCTCATCCTCATCATCATCATCATCATCACCATCATCATCGTCATGATAGTTGTCGTCGTTGTCGTGGTCGTTATCGTCGTTGTCGCCGCCCAGATGGGGTGTGCCAACAAGTTGCGGATGGGTGGGTGAGATGTGTGCACGAATTTTGGAGATGATAATGCGCGGATGCGGTCAGAATTACATTGCACCACATAGAGTCCCCTTCCAAAAAATGAAAAGACTCTACGTACCACCCTCCCGAATCCGGGGTTCGCGGCACCCCCTGGGGTACCACAATTTTCACATGGTCCTGCCTGATCGCTCACGTCCCATATGAAACCAGACCATCCCAGCCAAGCAGGTATCGACGCCCCCGGCCATCTCCTGCACATTAAGTTGCGCTGCACATGCGTGCACCTAGAGGGCGTTTTACCAAGCGAAATAATAACAACCAAATCTGATCACATGCGCGCGCTGACGCGCAAGAAGGTCAAAATCCGTCGAAGCCCATCGATGTCATGAAACCCGTGGCTCTTCAACCAAATACTGCCAGAATTCTGCGCGCGCACTGGCTGAAATTTCAAAACAACAAAAAATGTGTCCAGACCCACCATCCTGGCCGCTCGCGTGCGCATGTCAAAAACGTTCAATAACTGTCGCGTGCCCACCAACTGTCAAATAATACGATGCGGGCCACGCGCCCGCGTCCGCTGCGTGCGTACGTCGAAGTCGTTCCAAATGCATTCCTTTGTTCTGACCGTTTCGACACAGAGGTGTTCAACAACATGCGAAAACCCCATGGCTGTCAGTAAAAAAATCACGGTCAGAATTTCTGCGGGCGCACACTACCTCATCATCCTCATCAGCGCAGTCGTTATCATCATCGTCAGCGAAATCATTGTCATCGCCATCACCATCATCATCATCCCCATCGTCGTCATCCACACCGCCGCCGTCATCGCCGTCATCGTCGATGCCGTCCCTCTCGTCAAATTTCAGCGCGCGGGCACTTCAACATCACCGTCACCAGAACCATCGTCATCATCATCGCCAGCGTCATCGTTGACAGCGTCATCGTTGACACCATCGTCGTCGTCGACATCGTAGTGTCCCCATTGCCACTGTCATCACCATGGGCATCAACGTCAGTATCACTGTAATCACCATCGTTAGTGGCGTCGCGGACGTCACCATCGCCACCACCATTTCGCGACCTGCAGGACGGACGCATCTGCGCGGCTGAATCCCATGCGCTCGTGCGCTCGTTGAGATGATGACCAGAGAAGCGTTGCCAAGAAGTTGCGGGTGGGAGGGTGGGATAGTTGCACGAGCAGTGGAATTGACGGCTGCCATTTCCACAGGTGAACCCCCCTGTCCAAAGCAAGATAAACTCTGCCACCCTCACGCCCGGAGTTATCCGTAACCCCTGAGCTGTTGTGTTCGATTATATAGATTGTGCATGACCGCCCGTCCTACGTGTAAAGGAGCAGGCCAACCAAACCAGTATCGACACCCCACCCGCCATCTCCTTCCCAAAAAAATGCGCGTGGTACACGCTTTGATCTAGGAAGTGATTATGCCAAGAATCCATCGCAGAGATGCATTACGGGACATACGCGCGCAGCATCGCGCGCACGTCAAAATCCTTCAAATGCCAGGGTGCCAGGGTGGATTCTTGCAACCATTTCAAGATATGGCAAGCCAGAAACCATCAACACCCTGTGTTGCTAGAACTCTGCGCGTGCATTCGCTGAAACCTCCTAAAAAAAGTATAGCAAGTCTGTCGAAAAAGACCATCTGGACCACTCGAGCGCACATATCGAAAACGTTCAGCAGCCTTCGCGCGCATACCAACTCTATCAAATCGTACCATGTGGGCCACTCGCGCATGCGCGCAAGTCGAAAAGTTGTCAGGATGCCTTGGTTTGTGCGGGCGCGCCCTTCTTCATGATCCTCATCAGCACAATCGTTAGTTATCATAATCGGCAGCGTCATCATTGCCGTCGCCACCAACATCATAGTCATCATCATCATCAACAACAACATCATCTACAACAACATCATCAACACCACCATCATCATCATCATCAGCATCATCATCATCATCATCATCATCATCACCATCACCATCACCATCACCATCACCATCACCATCACCATCGTCGTCATCATAATCACCCCCACCATCATCAGCATCATCATCAACATCATCATCAACATCATCACCATATTCGGGATCTTTACCGCCGCCGTCATCCTCATCATCGTCAACGTCGTCGCCCTGGTCAAAGATCTGCACGCGGGCACGTCCTCATCATCATGACCAGCACCATAGGCGTCATCATCGCCACGTCATCCCTGCCACCGTCATTATCAGCACCATCAGCTCATCACTATCACCATCGTCGTCGTCGTCGTCGACATCGTATTGTCTCCATCTCCACTGTCATCGCCATCGTCATCACCGTCATCGGCACTGTCATCGCCATCGTCGTTGGCGTGGCGGTCGTCATCATCGCCAACACCAGATCGCGACCTGGACAACGGGCTTGGCTGCGCGGTTGAGCTCCACGCGCCCGTGAACTCTTGGAGATCATAGTAATCTGAGCTTTGCCAACAAGTTGCGGGTGGGAGGGTGGGATGTGCAATGGAGTTGACGAGTGTAAGAGCTGCGAAAGCTGATTGCATTTCATAGACTGCACTTCGAGAGTGTAATCACCCAATGTTCGTGGTCCACGCTGGCAAAAAGTTTAACTTTCGAACTGGAGGTGTTGCCAGAGCAGAAGATCAGAAGCTCGGGTAGAGACACTCCGTGGCAAGTACCGCCCTGGGCGCCCATCCTGTACCCCAGGCGCCCGCCCAAGCGCGGTGCTAGATTCGCACGGCAGCGCAGGTGGGTACTGTACTGATAAGTTGCTCTCCCTGGTCGCAACGCCAGGTGTGTCAGTACGGCAGGCTGGGCGCTGCGTCAGAGACCTCCCCCCAATCGATGATCGTGAAGCTAAACAAATAGAACTGTTCCTCAAGGAGGTGTGTGCAAAGATTGCCAGCGCGAACGGAAGGCGCGGCCGAGGGACCATGCCAGTCTCCAAAAAACACCACGGTGGAGATTCCAACGGCCGAGCGAAATCGACAGCCTGTGTGGCTGGCACGATACTGCGAATGGTCTGAGATGTTGTCCTTTTGCTTTGCACCGTGCGTGCTGACTCCAGAAGCTCTGGGGCATCTCTGGCACGCGCTCAATACGCTCCGAGATCTCCCAGGCGACGCCCGACAGCAACGTGATTTGAAAAGGCACGTTGCTGGCTCCTGCCACCATCTGTCCACGGCGCCACCAGTTCCTCCCGAAGGACGGCGGACGCGGGCCGCCCCCGCACAGCCAGCCGTGGAGGCCGAAGACGCTGCGCACAGAGCCCACCCAGTTCGCGAGGAGCGGCTGCCCCCTCGGCAGAGTGCCCAAGCGAGTGCGCGGCTGGAGCGGGCTGCTCCTCGCCACACGCAGGAGGGCTGACGAAGCTGAAGAGGACGACTGCTCGGCGCCGCCGCGCCACCGCCCACACCCCCGAGGGAGGGGCTCCGCCCCGCGCTTCCGCCCGGCCACCCCCCCCGCGGGGTCAGGACAGCGGCTGGGGCGAGCCTGGGCCCCTCTGCCTGGCAGCCGGCTCGCAGGCGGGCTCGGAGGCGCCACCCGGCGCCCGGCTGGCCGGCGGGCTCGGGGGCTGCAGGGAGCCCCTGCGGCGCATCTCCTTGCTCCAGTTGACGTTCTTCTCGGGCTGCGGCTGAAAGTGCCCCAGGCCCAAAGGTGTCCCCAGGGCTCCCAGGGGAGGGGTGGCCCGTCGCGAAGCTCAGAGGCTCCCAGGGGCTCCAGTGGCGCGAAGAAGGCCAGGGACACCTTTGGGCCAGGACCGCTTCTAACAGCACCCGATCTTCGCGAAGTAGAGGTCCCCGAGGCGAGGGCCCAGCCTCTTCACCACCTGGAACAGCTTCCTCTGCAGCGCCGAGCGCTGCCCAGGCAGGCTCTCCAGCCTCCGTGCGTATCGGCCCCTGCCGATGTGCGAGAGCAGGCGCCTGCAGATCGGGAAGAGGTCGGCGTAGGTGCGCACCCCGTGCTCCGCGGCCTTCAGCCCGAGGAAGCCGTACAGGGGCAAGCTCAGGAGGACCAGGATGATTGTCCTCGTGCACCAGCGGGTGAAGAGCAGCAGAATGCAGCCATAGATCGGCGGCGAGCGAGGGGGGGAAGTGAGATTGAGAAGGCTTCCTCTGAAGATTCGGAAGCCCCCTGGCCTTCTGAGAAGTTTTCTAAACCTCCCCCGAAGACACCGAAAACTTATGAGAAGGCGCGAGGGCTTCTGAGAAGCCCCACCGCCTTCTGAGAAAACCTTCTCCTTCTCACTTCCCCCCCTCGCTCGCCGCCGAATAGAAGAGGAATAATACGGGTATCAGCATCAGCACGTACATGATCTTGTAAGACATGAGAACATCGCGGGCGGCCACTTTCACGGTTGAGGCCTTCAGTGCCTTTTCCTGCTCTCTCACTGCCAACTGGCCTGCTATGGCCATCGCGGGCAGATTGATCAAGACGTGGGGGATGCCACCAAGACCTAAGGTTATCAGTAGGAGCATCAACTGGCTGATTAGATCCTGAGGGGACCACCAGCGGATCTGCTTCACCTGGTGGTCTCTGAGGCCTAGGGCCTTCAGGTCGGACATGTAGTTCTCCAGGTCCCCCTTGATCTCGAGGTACAGCTGCGCCTCCTCTGGATCAATTGTTATGTCCTCCACGGCGCCCATGCTCTCACAACGTCTCAACGTCCTGTTTTCGTCTGGGTCTGCGTCATTGGCCCCATCCGTGCTCGAGACGAGGTCCACGATCCGGGCAATGCCTACCGCGAACCGACGGTTCAGGTCCATGGCCCGGATCGTGCTGATCTTCCCACCGTCCTCGGCGTAAAGACGGCGGACCATGTATATCGTCTGGAGAAGTTTGTAGTTCGACGTCGGCACGATGGTGCTTCGCATGCCTGTGTAGATCATCTCCAATAACGCGTCCGTCGCACCATGCTTATCCCGATCGGCCTGTTCGTATATGTCTCGTGGGATGTGGATGGGCGGCCCGAACTCCATGACAACTCGCCCACCGAAGTGATGTCCCTTGAAATAGTTGAGGCCGACGGGCACGATGGGTACCTGCACGTTATGTTTGGTGTAGGCTTCCAGTGCGATTCTCGCCACTCCAGCTTTCAAAGGAAGTAAATCCGTCTGGTCGTGGCTACCACCCTCAGGGAAAATGCCCAAGCATTTCCCCTCCTTGAGGCTCTTGTGAACGGCATCGTACATCTTCGACTGATCTGTTTTCGGCAGCACCTTGTACTTCCCCACGCCCTCGCTGTGGCTCACGTAGGAGGACGCCAACTATACGACTACAGAAAGATCATGGCCAGGCCCACCCTGAATCCAGGATCGGCGTGTACGCCATCCTGTCTTCCTCGCCTGGAAGAGATACACTAGAACCACGCGCGCTTCGCGCGCGCTCAGGTTCTAGTCTGGGAGTTGTTGTCCACATTCAAACTTCGCATGGTCCAGTTTGGTATGTGTTCGCCTCATCTCTCACAGCATGGTGCGACGAACATGCGGGGAGGGAACGCTTGAAAAGGAAGGTGGAGGAGGCCTCGAAGAAAGGAGAACGACTCCTTATACTCTCGCTATCTCTCTCTCTCTCTCACTCTCTCGTTAACTTTCTCTCTCGCTCTCTCTCTCTCTCTCTCTCTCCCTCTCTTTCTCTCTCCTCGCTATCCTCATCCGATTGTCCTCCTACTTTCATCCCTGGACCACGCGCATCGCGCGCGCTGAGACTCTAGCGCTGGATACGCCAACGTCAGAACATAATGGGTGCATGTCGCGACCTCTTCTGGGGCGTAATCATACTTGGGCCCTCGTCCAGTCCTCTGCCCTCCTCTTTCCCTTCCTCTCCTCATCCTCCTCCTCATCATCCTCCTCGTCCACATCTGGTCCTCTGTCCTCCATCCCTCCCTGTCTTCTTTCTTCTTGGGGCTTCGTGGAGCCCCTTTGAGGCTCTTTGGGAGCTTGGGGGAGTCTCTGCGCGCGTCTTGGGAACTTTCGGGAAGCCTTGTGGGGCCTCTTGGGGTATCCGGGAGCCTCTTGGAGACTCTTGGGGGCCTCGTGGGAGTCGTTCGGGGTTTCGTGGGGGCATCGCGAGGACGTTCTAGGAGGCCTCTTATGGAAATGTGGGGGGCTTTGGGGGGGCCTCTTGGAGATTCTTAGGAACTCTTGGAGGCTTGTTGGGAGTGTCTTGGGGCTCCCTGGGAGCCTCTTCGGGGCGATCTGGAGGCCTCAGCAGCCCATCGTAGGCGCAAAGGCGAGAAATCAAAAATCATGGATATCCCTTCGGTGCTTATGGTTTTGGGCGTCTCGGATATGTCTTGGAGGGTCTCCTGGGGCCCGCTGCGGCTGTCTTGAGCGTCTCATAAGGTGCCTGGAGGCTCTCTTGAGCCGTCTGCGACCCCTGGAGGCTGTCTTGGGAGTAGCTCGGGGCCGTTTGGGGCCGCCTGGACAAAGTGCGAATGGCCCTCCGAGGCGATCCATGGCCCCCCGAGGAGAAACCGAAAACCCCAGTTCACCAATTTGACGTAGTGGTCGTTGCCCCCAGCCCCCCGGGCCAGGTCCCCCGTTATATGTATACACCGACCCTGGGCCCCAAGGTTGGCCTAGCCCGGATCGATGTACAGTTGGCGTCCCCCGATCACAGGCGAATCCACCTGAAGCTCGGAGTCAGAGGTCACCGCCTGCACCTTGTACGGCCGTCCCTTGATCTCCAAGTGGTCGCCAGGCTTCACCTCTGCGGCGAAGCAGGTACCTTGGCCCCGAAGCACGTCGGAACCGTCGGCAATGATCACGCCGGCGCCCGCGAACGCCACGTCCTGCGGCCGAGACACTGGTATGCAATTGAACACCCTGGCGAGGAACCCCACGAAGGGCCGGTCCCAGGACTTCTGCGCGATCATGAAGGAGATTTCTCTATGAGAGTTGGCAAGCAAGAACACTCCGTCCACGAATTGGTTGTTGTGGTTGCCTGTCAGGATCACAGGCCCGTGAACTGGCAAGTTCTCCGCCCCGAGTATCTCGACCGAGCGGAAGAACATGTTGTTGAATGTGCATCGGAAGAACAGCCTGCAGCTATGGTAGAGGACGTGCCGCTTCTGCTGGTGCGCGAGGCAGTACAAGAGGAATGCCGCAAGCATGGCGAGGTGATGCGCCTCAACATGCAGAAAGGGCTGCGTGTAGCTACACAAAACCTTGACAGGGTTCAGATCGTCCTCGGCCAACACAATAACGGCTACCAGAAACAGGCCAAAGGGCTTGGCCCCCGCAGCGACTGAGGTAACCTCTTCTGACCCTTTCGTTGAAATCGGATTCTCCATCAATTCGATCAGAACAGACACAGATATTTAAATGCCCCAGCTCTGCCCTCACTGTCGGCTGTGGGGCACCGCCTTCAAAAACACGCCCGACCCGCCCGAGGCGAAACGGCGCGAGTCAAAACGGCTACGGAGCAACCGATTCAAGATTGTCCTGGAGTCCCGAAGTGTGCCAGGGGAGGACGAGAAGCAGCAGCAGGAGCAGAGGGAAGGAGGGAGGAGCTCAGGCCATTCCTGGTCACCTGGAGGCCCACTCCCGTATACCCATCGGTCGGAAGAAGTGGGTAGAGGCATGAGGTAGGAAGGCGTTGACAGTAGACCGGATATCCACCCCCCGCCCCCTGGAGAGGAGGAGAAATGGAAAAACGATCGACCCTTGAAGCAGGGAGGCACCCAAAGTAGATTGGGATCTGGGAAACCCAATACACCTACTCTCAACGGCCGGTTGGTATTGCGCAATCGTGGGACGTCTCAAGTAAGGCATAGCCGCCACAAGTAGGCAGAACCGCCACGAGTAGACCACCAGTAGGGCCGATGACCAACGCCGGGCCTCTCAGCAGGCGGCTGGGCGGGATCGGGTCAAACAGGTCGCCTTCTCCTTCTCCTCATCCTCCTCCTCCTCCTCCTCGTCCTCCTCCTTTTCTTTGTCTTATTATTCTTACTTGTATCAGTATTCCTATTCTCGATATTAATCGTATGAACATGTTTAAGTTTCTTCCTATTAGTTTTCTTACTAATAGTTTTAATCGTATGTTCACTCTTCTTCTCAATAGTATTCCTCCTCCTCCTCCTCATCATCATCATCATCCTCCTCCTCCTTCCTCCGCCTTCTCCTCCTCCTCCTCCTCCTCCTCCTCCTCCTCCTCCTCCCGCCCCCAACCCCTCCCTCCCTCCCTCCCTCCTCACTCCTCCTCCTCCTCCTCCTCCTCCTCCTCCTCCTCCTCCTCCTCCTCCTCCTCCTCCTCCATTCCTTCTCCGAAAAAGATAACTCCTCCCTGTCGCACCCCGAAGCCAGTTTTTAGGGCGGGCCGGGCGTTTCGCCCGAGACTTCCTCACCCTTGATGACTCTGAAGCTTTAAGAATGACATCAGCTTCACAAATGGAGGGCGGGTGGTTTTCACAATGTGGCTCTCGCCTTAGCGCCGCGCACAGTCCTTTTAAAACATTGCAAGAGCTTCCCGGATTGAGGGCGGGTGGTTTTCAAAATGTGGCTCTCGCCTTAGCGCCGCGCACAGCCTTTTTAAAAAGTTGCAAGCTTCACGGATTGAGGGTGGGTGGTTTTCAAAATGTGGCTCTCGCCTTTGCGCCGCGCACAATCGTTTTAAACATGTACAAGAGCTTCACGGATTGAGGGTGGGTGGTTTTCAAAATGTGGCTCTCGCCTTTGCGCCGCGCACAGTCGTTTTAAACATTTGCAAAAGCTTCACGGGTTGAGGGCGGGTGGTTTTCAAAATGTGGCTCTCGCCTTAGCGCCGCGCATATTCGTCTTAAAGAATTGCAAGAGCTTCACGGATTGAGGGCGGGTGGTTTTCAAAATGTGGTTCTCGCATTAGCGCCGCGCACATTCGTTTTAAAAATGTGCCAAGAGTTTCACTGATTGAAAATGGTTTCTTTTCAATATGTGGCTCTCGCCTTAGCGCCGCGCACATGAACATGTTCCCCATATCCAAAGATGGGGTTATTGTTATTACTTGGACGCCTCCTACTCATCATTCCTCTTCTCCTCCTCCTCCTCCGCAGCCTCATCCTCCTCCTCATCATACCTAGATTTACTCATACACATTCTTATTCATCCACAGACTTACTCATGCTCAGGCCTGACCATACTAACTTACTCAGACCCAGACCTACTCATACTCAGACCTACTCATACTCAGACATACTCATGCTGAGACTCACTCGCAAACTTACTCATACTCAGACCTTCTCATTGTCTGACTTACTCAACACACAGTAGATTGTGAGGATGCCTCAGGCGGGGCGGGGTATTGCACGGTCCCGTATGCGGCCGTTTCGTGGGGATGTTTCAAGCGGTTTGCCTGTTTTCTGTCTCAACATCCTTCGCTTGGAGAGCAGATTGTGAGGATGTCTCCGGCGGGGCGCTGGTTTCAGCACCCCTAAGGGGAGCCGCCGATGGGGTATTGCACGGTCCCATTCGCGGCCGTTTTGTGGGGATGTCTCAAGCGGTTTGCCTGCTTTCTGTCTCAACATCCTTCGCTTGGGAAGCAGATTGCGAGGATGTCTCAGGCGGGGCGCTGGTTTCAGCACCGCTACGGGGAGCCGCCGAAGGGTATTGCACGGTCCCGTTCGCGGCCGTTTGGTAGGGATGTCTCAAGCGGTTTGCCTGTCTTCTGTCTCAACATCCTTCGTTTGAAGAGCAGGGTGTGAGGATGTCTCAGGCGGGACGCTGGTTTCAGCACCCCTAAGGGGAGCCGCCGATGGGGTATTGCACGGTCCCATTCGCGGCCGTTTTGTGGGGATGTCTCAAGCGGTTTGCTTGCATTCTGTCTCAACATCCTTCGCTTGGGAAGCAGATTGCGAGGATGTCTCAGGCGGGGCGCTGGTTTCAGCACCCCTAAGGGGAGCCGCCGATGGGGTATTGCACGGTTCCATTCGCGGCCGTTTTGTGGGGATGTCTCAAGCGGTTAGCCTGCTTTCTGTCTCAACATCCTTCGCTTGGAGAGCAGATCGTGAGGATGTCTCAGGCGGGGCGCTGGCTTCAGCAACCTAAGGGGAGCCGCCAAGGGTGCTTTCACGGCTCTGTTCGTCGCCGTTCTATGGGGATGTCTCTAACGGTTTGCCTGTTTTCTGCTTTTGCGTTGTGTCCCGAGTGGCTCTCCCCGTTGCGTACGGTGGTCAGGGAGGAGTGACCAGGTGTTGCTGGCGCAGAGATTGCGTCACCGTGGGATGGTGTTTTCTCTCTCCGTGGCGTTTTCCAATCTTGTCGTCGTCAGCGGGAGAGGGAACTTGAGAAGGTTCATTCTCCCGCGTGCGTTTTGGGCTGGGGAGGGAACTTGAAAAGGTTCACTCTCTAGCTGCGTGAGAGGGAACTTGGAAAGGTTTTGTTTCCCGCTTGTGGCTCATATGGCTAGACGCTCTTTCAAATATCCCAAGTACAATATTACCTTTTAAAAGGATGCACATATGGGGAGCTCCACACAGGGAGTAATTCAAGTTGCAAGAGATTCTCGGTTTCCCATGATCAACGCACCAGATATGGTGTTTTGGAAGGATTCAAGATTACGCGGGTGCAACAGTTATGTTGATTCGCTGTGTTGAAGTCCCAAAAATGGCGTTCTAGCACGGATCTGGATCGTCAAGACGCAGCAGTCAAGTTGATACGTGGCGTTGAAATCCCGAGAGCAATGTTTTGGCACGCTTCAGGATCTTCAAACTGTTGTCTTCCAACGAAGCAGTTCCCTCAATGGAAGTGGACCGCTCCAGGGGCATATTGGAGGGAGGGTGAATTCCAACATCGTTGATGACTCTTGGGTTTCCACTTGTCCTCCTCCTCCTCCTCATCCTCATCCTCCTCCTCCTCCTCCTCCTCCTCCTCCTCCTCCTCCTCCTCCTCCCGACCGGATGGTGCTGCATCTCTTTGTGAAGCCGCCCTCGAATATGGTTCGCGCAAGACGAAAGGAGGCGTCGGTCACAGGGCGGCCCATTATCCTCCTGGTATTTCTATTTCTCATACTGCTCATCGTCATCTCCCTGCCGAATTGCAAGAAGAGCTCGAGGGCCTAACTTAAGCCTCCACATCACACTCGAACCGAGGATGATATGGTGGCTGGATGCAAGGAGCGATTGGCCGATACGCAGCAGCGTGTGAACCCGAACCCTGCTGGTCCGAATCCTGGGAGGGGCCACGAAACCAGCGGAGTTCAGTTTTGGTGAACGGGCACGATAAACGAAGGGGAACGATGGGGGGGATTGGCTCAGGGGGGTAGGTATCGACCTGGAATCGGCAAGACATCGCGGATAGATTTGGGTCGGGCATGTCCTCCTACAGGTGGATTTGGGACGAATAATCAAAGATTCGCTGGCCCAACGGGCCAAGGGCGTGCTAAGATCTCTGGTAACCGGTAAACAATATTTCCAATTCGCGCGCGCGGGGCCGCCCCTGGGGGTCCCCGGACGAAAAATACCCCCGCAAATCCCGGCCAGGTCCCCGACCGGGTCCTGGGCAGGTCCTGGGCAGGTCCCGGCCAGGTCCCGGCCAGGTCCCAGCAGGCTCCCAAGAGCGCTCCAGGAGCGCTTCAAGTGGCCTCCAAGAGAGCTCAACATGGTCCGAGACGGTCCAAGAGCAATCCAAGACGCCAAATATGGCCTCACAGCCCAAAGCGCCTTCAAGACGCCCCAAGAAGCCTCCAAGAGATCTCCCAAGAGGGCCCACAGAGGCAGAAATTAGTGATTGTCCTTCAGTTTCTGACGATTCTTGGCGTTCTCGCCTTTTCGGCTTACCGGCGCTCCAAGACGGCACAAAAGGCTTCCAAGACCACCCCAAGACGGCCCACGAAGCCTCCAAGAGGGCCCAAAGACGGCCCAAGATGGCCCCAAGACAGCCCAAGAGGCGCCCAAGAGGCGCCCAAGAGAGCCCCAAAACGGCCCCAAGAGGGGCCCAAGAAGGGGAGCAGGAACCGAAAAGTCCAGCCTTCAGCCCCAAGAGGCCCCCAGGAGGCCCCAAGAGACCCCCAAGAGGCCCCAAGGGGTCCCCAAGAAGCACCCCAACAAGCCCCAAGAGGCCCCAACAGGGCCTCCAAGAGACCTCAAAACTGCCTCCCAAAGGCCCCTGAGAGGCCAACCACGAGAGCCCAACCAACATCCGTGAGGCATCTGACCCGCCACCCAAAACCTCCGAAAAATGGCAGCCGCCCAACCGCACCGCTTTGACAACAACACCCCGACCAACGACAGCGGCGAGGCAATATGGGCCGACGGAAAGAGCGAAGCGACTAAATAATCAAAAAATGCTCAAACATTGTCAAAAATATTCCAAAGATAATTCCCAGACTACCTTTTTTATCATTTTTGAATTTTCCTCCTGTGGAGGGACAGGCCCGACTCAAAGGGTAGGCATCAACCTGGAATCGGCCAGACATCGCGGATAGATCGACGATGGCTCCTGGAAGGTGGAAGCCCCACGGCCCTGGGCGGGGTGGACTCTCGGGCCCTATCGGAGATCACCGAGCTGCACAGCTCGCGGCTCACCCGCCTGTCGTCATGCACACGTCCCGAGGTGCTCTCGGTCGGAAACGTTTGCTTA